GGCGACTTCACTACTCACTCCTAATTCCAGATAGTTTGTGGTAGTTTATGAAAGGTTTGGTCCCGATACAAACCCCTACAGGGCTCCACTGGAGACCTCTCTTGAGTGGGAGAAATTGCCATTCCCACCCTCTGTCTTCTGATCATTAACCAGTTAGCAATCCGTAAGAGGACCCCCCTCCCTTTTATTCCAGGGCTTCCTAGGTTGCTCAGGAGCCTTGGTGAGCAACTTTGTCAAAAGCCTTTTTGGAAGTCCAGACAAACCGTGTCTACTGGATCACCCTTGTTTATGTGCTAATTGACATTCTCAAAGAGCCCCAAAGGTTGATAAAGCAAGGGCTCCCCTTGTGGAAGCCATGCTGATTTTTTTTCCAGTAGGACTTCTCCCTCCGTGTGATTTATTCTGTCTTTAATTATGCTTTTTAGAAGGTTACCCAGAACAAATGTTAAGCTAACTGGCCTGGGATTTCCCAGATTCCCCCAGATCCCTTTTTAAAAATTGGTGTTGCACCAGCCATTCTCCAGTCCTCTGTACAAGAGCTGATTTTAGAGACATATTAAAAATGTTGGTAGGAAGGCTTTCGTGCTTGAGTTCTGGACTGGGTGACTTGCTGACTTTCAGTTTGTCGGTAAGGTTGAACATCGCATCTTTTGCCAGTATTATCTGCCCTAATTCCACAGATTCCCTTCCAGAATTCATTATCTCAGGGACTGGAATCTGCTGTTCATCCTCTTCTGTGAAAACTGTCAGAAATAATTCATTCGGCTTCTCTGCAATCTCTTTGTCTTTCTCTGAGTGCTCCTTTAATTCCATTATCATTCAATGGCCCAACTGTTTCCTTAGCGCTCTTTCTTTTGCTGTATCCTTTACTGCAAGCCTTGATGTTGTTAGCGATGTGCCGTTCCTTCGCTTCTCTGATGGCCTGCTTGCATCTCCCTTGTGCAAGCTTGTGGTCCCGTCTGTTCTTCTCATTTGGGCAGGACTTCCAGTTTTTGAAGGACGTTTTCTCCTCCCGAATCGCTTCCTTGACTCTATGAATTAACCATGTTGTTGATTTCCCAGACTTTGTACTCCCTTTTCTCATTTGTGGTATGAATATTGGGTATGCCTCTATTACCATGTTTTTGAGTAATCTCAAAGCGCTTTGATGCAACTTAAACTTCTTGAGTCCCTTCTTCAGCTTCTTCATTACCAGTTCCCCCATTTCTGAGAAGTTTTCTCTTTTGAAGTCAAAGGCACCTGCGTTCAGCATCTCTGGCAGTCTCCCACTGGACCATTTATTAAATCCGATACCAGTGTGGTCGTGGTTCTCGAATGGCTCAACAACATTTCCATCCTGCATTAAGGTCCTGGGCAACCCCGCCTAGGGCTAAATCCAGGACTGCCCCCTCTTTCTGGCACCATCTTTTGCGTTCAGCCACTCCCACGAGTGTCCTGTGGTCCTTGAGCATTTTTCCAAAATTAAATGCAGCTCTTGGGTTCAAATAGTCTTCCCACCCCTTCCAGAGGCTTGCATATTAAAGTGAATTCTATAACCTTGTGGGAAAAAACACAGGACCAATTTCCAGCTTTTTTTTTTTTTCAGCTGGTGATTCCACCCCCCCCCCCAAATAGGTGAATATGAACCTCTGCTTTTGGATTATTATATTGAAGCTTTGGGGGAGCTCCTAAACCGGGGAGAGAAAAGACGCTGAAGGCAAGATTTTTCTTAAACTCTGACCTACTGAGAGTGTGATGCCGGTGTTTGGTTTTGGCAAGTAGGTGATTGTTGCACAAAAAGTCCAATAAAAACACTATTTGTTGACTTTGCACAGGTTTTATGAGTCTAACTAGTCATCTCAAGCCTGGCGATCTTGTGCCATGTTTACCTAGTACAGTTTTCCAGCGCTTTCTCCTCCTTGATGTCCATTAAGTAGCCCTTTTCTGCTGCTGCGTTCAGTGTTGTCAGAGTTTTGGAAGTAAGGGAGGAAAAGCACAAGAGCGAGCGAGCAAAGAGACCTGCTGTTCACATGACACAAACTGTTGGCTTATTTAACCTATGCTTCTTTGGCAGATGATCAAACAAACTGTGATGTGTTTTTATAATCCTTGGGTTGTTTGTTTCCTTCCTGCTTTGCCCATTCACTCCCTCTATGCCCAACATACTGACATGAAGAACTGATAGTTCTTTTTAATCCACTCTTGCCCACTGAATCTGTAGTCTCCCCAAATAGCCCACATCTCTGTGTTCGAACATAACGACAACTCATGTTTTAAGCCATTCAGAGTTCCCAGCCTAACCACAAACCATGACTTCCACATTAACAGACCATGGTTTGTTAGCACGCTTAGACTTGCTCAGCACGACCACCTGGCATTCAACAACCCATGAATTAAATAAACCATTGGTATGCGTATTATGTGAAAACCAAGTCAGAGTCTCAAAAAAGGACCCCAGAGAAGGAGAAGAGACCCCATGGCTTGTTTTTATACACTTGGTTTGTCATGGTTAGCAGCTCACAGACAAAGCATAGTTTAATGTAACAACCCATGATTCAACAGCGTCATGAGGGAGCCAGTGTGGTATAGTAGTTAAGAGCATGGACTGGCTCTCAGGTGCTCAGCCACGGAGTCAGCTGGGTGGCGTTGGGCCAGGCGCTCAGCCTAAGCTACCTTGCCGGGTTGTTGATGAGATGGGAGGAGGAGAATGATGTGAGCTGCATTGGGTTCTTGGTAAGAAAAAGGCGACGTATGAATCAAACAGCATTTCAGTCTCAGACTCTTGAGATTTCAACGCATGTAAGCTGGATCTAACACTTTTATTCTGGACTCTGCTTTGATGGATCATAGCCCTTTTGATCAGGTGGCCAATGCACTGGGAGGAGTCTGAGGTGTATATGAAGTTAGCTACGTTGGAGCGGGGAGGAAGGAAATTAAAAGCAGCGGTGGCAACCGCATTCTACGCTGCAAACGGTCCTTGGATGGTGCGGTTGTTGCTGATAACCCGGACATCCTGCTGAGCCAATGACCACATGGAGTGGGATAAGGACCCTTTATCCTGATCCAGGCCTCTGAGAATAGGATTAAATCTGTTTCTGAATTCTAAGTCAGGGCTGTCGGGAACAAAGCTTCAGTCGACTGGTCTCTGCTAACTTGCATATGTCCAGTGTCTAATTAACTTCCAGAACGGGCATGCTTGGGCAGTTCTCCACCCTGCATTTAGCCTATTTGAGCTCGGTGGGGCTCACTTCTGAGTGGCCAGGGAGAGAGTCACTGTGCAGGGCGAGAGCTTCCTTTGTTGGCGTTGGCCTTGCAGGCGGTCCTTTTATGTCCAAGAGGGGTAGAGGAGCATTCCTTCTGGGAAAGTGTCACTGTGTGCCCTCCAGGGGAAATTGCTGCTGATCAGACGCCCCGAAGTTTCCCTGTCATTCTCCAAAATGCTTAATTTCGGTTTCTGTTAATTTCTTAACATCTCCTTTCCCCTCATCACCAAAGGCACCGATTGCTCTGAGCACAGCCTCTAGGCCAGGCAGCGCTATGCACGCCGGGAGACGAAAAGGCCCTGCAGAGCCGTCTGGGGTATGCTCGGCGTTGTAGGGCTTTCCCTTTCCTGTCTAAACACGCATAGAATCGCACCCTGCATGAATATATAATTGCAGAAACTCAGGGAGGGGTGTTGGTTTTAAATTTAGCTTCATCGTGGGCTTCTCCTCCTTTCATTCAGCAGTCTTGCTAAAAGGAATCTTAAGTGTAAAAAATCTCATCCAGGGTTTCGTTACTGCTCAGTAGAACCTACCATCCTATAGTGCTGAAGGCTTCTGGCCAGGGGTTTTCACTGCAGAGCTAAACCTTTGTTTGGGGTCTACGGATTCCAGTGACTAAATGCTCCTGCCATGTTCTTCTGGATCTCTGCAGGTGGAGAAGCTTCTCTATGGAAGCTCACTGTTGTGTGAATTTCCATCATGTGAAGGATTCTGGGGTGGGGAAGGTCTCTACATGTTGAGAAGTGGAAAGTTCAAGAGCTGGGCAACGTGTGGCTTTCCAGATTTATTAGCCTACAGCTCCCTACAGCCCCGATGAAGAAGGATCATCAGACCAAAACATCCGGAGGGACACAGGTTCCTCTGCTGGGGGAAAGGAGTTCACAAAGGACCTGTGTGTGAAAGAGAGACCGGCCAAAGAATGTACACCTTGGTTTCTTGAAAGACTTCGCCTGTCGATCAGCCTGCGCCCGTCTAGATCTTTTTCGATGTTTAGGATAGCAAGCCCCGGTTGACCATGCTGAATGTTATAGACCAAAACATCTGGATGGACCCCAGTTGTGAAAAACTTCTATAGAGCTTAGTTGGGACTGAGTCGATACTTCTTCAGTATCTCCAAGGAAGTTTCATAAGTGAGGGTTTTGTTTTGATCCTTGAAAAAAGCTGGAGGGAAACTTTCCCGGGAAAAGGAGTCTCTTGTATAGAATTAAAGCCAGGAAGTGGGGGACACCTGGGGACGGGGTGTTGAGGCAGCAAATAATGGAAACATGGTGATGGTTGATATTGAAAAGGCTTGTTCTGCAGAGACGGGTGCACCCCTCCCTGTGTTTGGACAGGGGATAGTGGGGCTTAGAAGAGTTGTTCTGGCCTAAACATGCCCAGGATTCAGCCCCACAAGACTGAAGATGACAGAACACCGTGGCAGCCCGTCCACGGAGGTGTCCAGGTGGCCGCCTTGAATGACCTTCCCGTACCCCATAGCTCCATTTTGCCTTTTTGAGGTCTCCTTCCTTGGAAGCAACGATGAAACGTGGGGATAAGCTCCCACACCCTGCTCATTCCCCTTCCCCAGAGCTCAAGAGGGGTTTGCTAATTCTGCAGCAACATTTGGCTGGGGTTTTTTTGTATCTCCCTCCCTCCCTCCCTCCCCCTCCTCCTCCTCCTCCCCCCTCTCTCTCGCTCTCTCTCTCTCCTCTTTTCCTTTTCTTTTTTAAATGGATGTTTCGATTTTGATTGCAATTTTTTAATTGCATTTAACAGTGATCCCTGCTGGTTCTTCACTCTGCATCTTTAGAAACCACGGTCCATTGAAGGCTGTTGTGATTTCAATGGAACATCATGGGGTGTACCTGGCCCGTCGGGCAGCACGGGATGGAGGTGCCTTTAGCCCAGTGTACCTGGCATGGTAAGCAGCAACAGAGCGGAGTTCACCTGCGTTCTTCCTGCCCCTGCAGCCGGGCCACCCCCTCCCTCCCCGCCCCCGCTTCGATGCAGCTTTGGCACCAGTTGGTTTTGCTGCTGCTTCGCGGGTGTCTGTCGTTCCTTCTCTCCTCTTGCTTGTGTCGGCATGTGTCTGCTTCCCCTGAGCCAAGATCCGAAGCTTCGTCGAGCTCTTTGGTTGTGTTCTCTCTCCCCAGAGCTACCCTGGGGTCTGCATCTGGATAGTCGCTCCTTTGATGAGGTAGCCTTCCTGGACGTTGGCTTGCTCTCCTAGGGCTCCACAGCAGGGGTGGGAAATTTCTTTCAGCCCGAGGGCCAAACTCCCATTTTGCAGAAGCTTGCAGGGGCTGCATCCCAGTGGTGGGCGGGGCCTACAGCAAAAGGGGTGGGGCAAACTAGGATGCCATTTTGGCTTCAAGCTTCGGGCAGGTGTTGCTACCTTTTGGAAGGGGCAGGGACTGCGAAAGAAGGAAAAATACTGAACGATTAGTCAAGGGGCAGGGATGTGGCTGAGAAAAGGGGTGTGGCCGAGAAAAGGAGGCGTGGCCATGGAGCGGGGGGGGGCAGGTTCATCCTCTGCTCTAGAGGAAGAGAAGGCAGACTTCATTGTTGCAGGACCTGCAAGAAGTGCAGGGGTGGGGGCATAATAAAGACCAGGGTGTGCCTGAGCATATGCTAAACCCAGCTGCTTGTTTCCAGAACTTGCCCCAAGCTCTCTGCCCCCTCCATGCAGAAATTCTCTTCTGGTTGCTGTTCGGCAAGCTTTCCTTCATTGCAGCAGTCTAATTTAGGGAAGGCCAGGAAAGCGTACATGGTGGCAGTTATGAAACACCTGTGAGTTGGGATTTCACACTGATCGACTGCAAATCAAGCACCAGCTTCCCAGCAGATCCCAATCTGACTCTGCGTTCTCCTGATAGGAGGACTGCTCGTGAATGATACCAGATGGGTGTACAACTCATTGCTAGATTAAGCTTGGACATAACCCCATGGAGATGTGGGAGGAAGGAACTGGAAAATGTGGTCAGGAAATCCCCCCCCCCCCACCAAGGAACTGGAGGAAAACCAAATTTCTCCTCCCCAGCCAAAACCAAAAAAGTATCAGGGTTTGGTTTTGTTGCCCAGACCTCTGCATCTCTACTCTGTTTTGGCCATCTGTGAGAAGTCAGCATTCCTTCCAGCTCGCCAGCCAGGGACTTGAAACAGAAAGAGTTGTGGGTTACCTATCTCCATGTGTTTAATCCAAGCGCATTTTGAGCAATTGGTTCCTCACCGAGGGACAGTCTTGCTGCAATTTCTCGCATGACCAGCTCCAAGAGAGCCGTCGAACCACATGGTAGCTGATCCAGTCATCGGAGAGCCAAATTGCACGGGAACGTTAAGCAGACACATTTTTAACAGTGTGTTTAAATGGGGCTGCTGCTTTTTCTCCCCCATGCAGACTGGATTTGAGATGGCAGTGTGCACGGAAGGAGTTCTTCATCCCTTCCCATCCACTGCCACTTTTCCACCAAAATCCTTCCATCTCCCCACACCCGCACCGCTCCAGAAAGAGCAGCTGTGAAGGCAGGGGTTGTTGGCAGGGAAAATGAAGGAAGTGTCACACCGAACGCCTCCCCGAATGGAAAGAGTTCCAGCCAAATCAAGGGCTGCTTTTCCTGAGCAGCTTTTAAAAAGATGTGCATAATCTAAAATGCTGTTCGAAGATGTTGCGAGAAAAGTTCTCAGCTTGAAGAGCTCATTGCTTGAAATGTCGTGGGTTTTTTACTTCCTGCATCGATGCATTTGTTTCCATGCCCCTTGAAATTCTGCTCTTTCTCTCTTCCAAACCTTCCCAGGAATACCCCAGAAAGCACCCTATCTCTGGCGTCTTGTCTGTGCTTTCATCCCTTGAATTTTGTATTGTTACTGCGGCTACTACATTGCATTTATACCCCGACTTTATTCCTCTTGGATGGAAGTCAAGCGACTTGCAAAGTTCTCCTCCTTTCCGTTTTATCCTCAACAACAACCCTGTGAGGTAGGGTGAGAGTCTGTGACTGGCCTGGAGTCACCCAGTGAGTGGGGACTGAAACTCAAATTGCTCTGACCACTGCATCACACTGGATCTCTTTTAGAGCCGGTTTCAGGCAAAACTGCATGTTAAATTAATCAGATGCAATATAGCTGAGGTCAGTCTAACTATTCTAAAATCAGTGTCTGTGGCCCTGATTTGGAATTTAACCTGCCTCTCATTTTTCCCCCCTAATTCCCCCTCACCATTGCATGGGCGGGTTTTGGAAAAAGGAAAAACTCCACTTGTGTCAGTTAAGGTTTTCTTTCTTCTTTCAACTCCCACCCTGCCACTGGAAGGGATTTTAGCAAAAACTCAAATGCAGTTTTAATCCTCCCCTCCTGGTATATAGTGCTCCCAACCTGAATTGGGGCCATGCGCCTTTACACTAGAGTTGAAAATAAATTCTTGATTGCATGTCAAGAATTGGTCCTTACACGCGTTGCTAGATGAGGTGAGAAATGTTCAGAAGGGACAGAATGGCGGGCATGTGGAGGGGACGTGTTTTCTCAGTCCTCCTTGCCCAAAACCCCCCTGCAAGCAGAAAGCCAGCACTGCAAGGAACATGGTAAGCTAAACCCTTTGGCTTGCTTTCCGTTTCCTTTACTGAGATCCTTAACGAAGACCATGATGTGGCAAGGTCTTTGGGGTTTGGGCTCATGCATTTGTTTTGCATGGTGGGTGGTGTGGCAGGAGAACAGCCCCGGCTTGAGATGATTCCAGCTCACCCTACACCATATTGTAGGTCTCCTCTTTGGGGCGCCCTTTCCTAGGGCCGCGGGGTGCTTGCACAAGCTCTCCACATTCTGTCATTGTGTGGATGTGCTGAGCAGCAGCACAGCATGGGTGGACCTCGGGGCCTGTGCCCAGGGCCCCAGAATGACTATCCAGAGAAGGGCAGGTGACGCAGGCTTCCGGCTGTTCACACCTGTACTCACAAGGATGCTAAGATTTAAGTTGGCGTAAAAAGCAACTTCGCACGTGTTCGTAGTAGCGTTGTTCTAACATTCCGTGGATACTGCTGTAAAACACGGAACTGCAGTTTGGGTGGAGAAGAGGAAGGCTAGTTAAATCTTCAGAACTGAAATAATTAATACACCTGGCCACCAGAAGGTCCCTCACCCACCTTGATGACATCTACAGATGAACATTACCTGTAACTGAGTAGCACTTAGTCCCAAAAGGAGTGAGAGGGAAAGATTTTTGCCGTGCAAACCCTTCTGGACCCAAGGCTTCTTGGGGAAGGCGCTGTCAGATTTCTGAGCAGGGAGGGGGCAGTGATTGTGGTGTTTCACATAGATGAGTCCACAAAGGGACACTTTTTAGAGTGGCAACATCAGTTGCTGGCCTTCGGCGTGTCACTTTGGAAATGCCCCAGTCCCAGAATCTCACGCACACTTTTCCTTGGGCACGTTCTGCCTCGGTCCTTCAAATCTTCTGGGCACTGTAGTGAACGCAACACAAGCCTTTGTTCCAAGAGCACGAGGAGAGGGTGCAAGGAATGGCAAGCAGAGCCAAACCAATTTGGCACAGAAATCGCGGGCTCGGTGTTTTCTCCTTGAGTCAGCAAATCGCACAGCGGCGGCCGCTGCCGCGTTAGGTTCCCTCTCTCCCCCGCCCTCCCCCCTGCCTCTTAAAATGGATGTTGCTGCCGGGCTTCGCTCGTCCTGCGAGTGCCCCTGAGCCCCCATCTGTGGTCTGCAAGGCGGGAGGTTCAGCAGCTCTCTCTGGCCCCACAGTGCTACTTATCCATCTGAATCAAGGTGCTCCCTTCCCTTGGCACTCCTGCTATTCTGCTCCGTCTTGCAGTGTTTGATCCCTCAGTCAGTTCCTCCCAGGGGTTAGGTGGTTGCCCCGAAATTGCCCATAATCTTGGGGTATTTGGGGGGCGGGGGTATGCATATTAAAGCAATTTTGCTCCTCTCCTTGGCTGAGAAAGTTTCCTGGAATCACTTCTATAAGAGGCATTTTGCACTCAGAGACCACTCTACCCCCACCCCCCAGAAAACCCCCACAGTTATGGGTCTGACCATAAAGCCCAAGCTCAATGTACGGAAGGTCCCAAGTTGATCCTTGGCATCTCTGATTTCATCCATGGGGGAGCAATGATCAGAATGATCCTTCCCTGCCCAAGACCCTGGAGAGGTCCTGCAAGCCAGAATACTAGGACTGACACCCTGTCCTTGCTATAAAGCCACTGCCAATGTTTAGGGTCAGGCACTGGGCCCATCTGCAGCACTCTGTTTCTTACTGGGGCCAGTGTCAAAGGTGGGGATGGCAGGAGACCTGGCGAGGACGTACACCAACAGGGGCACTGCCAGGAGCTCCCTGGAGCTGCGCTTTGGTTCCAAATTCCAGCCTGCCTCTTGCGCTGGCCAGAACCATGGTAGTGCTCAGAACGGGGCACAGAAGATCTCCAGAAAGCTGACCCACTGACTCTGCCTGTCCAGCCAGCAATAGCCGGGGGAGAAGGAGCTTGTGGAGCAACAGCAGCTGGTGCTGAAGGTTTGGGGAAAGGTCAACCAACTGAGGGCAGCTTGCCCGAGGACTCCCCAGGGCTGTCTTCCCCAGTGCTGTCCTGCTCTTTGAGTGCCCTCTGTGTTTGTTCTGCTTGCCTTTCCACTTCACTTGAATTTTGGTGCAGCGAGCGCCATTTTCCTGTGTGCGTTGCCTGTTGTGTGAGGAAAGCTGTGCTCATGGTTTCTGTCCCCTGTGCACATGTTGGCGAAACCTGCTGGAAGGGACCTGTGAACTCACATAGGTTTCCTGTTTGACGGGGGCTGTTTAACCCAAACAGGGCAAAAGAAATCCAGGGCTGGAACGGGGGTGTTCAGCCCCTTTGTTTTTCTTCCCTTGCACAGGTGTGCCTCAATAGCAGCACAAAAGCCAACAACTCTCACGTCAGACTGTCT